TCCCGTGTTAGCTCCGACAGGCGCATTCCACTTACGTATTTGGCCAATTTCGAAGACAAGCTTCCCATTTCTTTTCGTAAAAGCGGTGCCGCCTTGGCATAGCATGTGTTTTCGCGTTGAAGTGTACACGCCCGCCGGCATGCAGCCTTCGCCGACCGATGGAAGCAGCACACAATCACCCGGATTCTTTACCAGCGAATCCTAAACGTGCGGCCACAGAGAGTTTCAGATTTCACAGTCAAAGCTAAAGTGCCGCTACACTGTAAAAACAATTACTACGAAGTTGGAATAAAACGGTTGTCCTCTAGCGTCCCCTCTGTAGGGAGCAATTTGAGCTCCGGCTGGCCGGAGGAATCGCGTTGTCCACCCGGAGTGCATTTAGCAAATATTTCACTCCGGCTGACTGGGGCAATTGTGTGGTGTCACGGAGTACGTTTTATTTTGATTTCCCTCGAGCTCACCGCAGTAATTAGGTAGCATCTTCGGAGCTTTTTTTGTGGGTTTTTTACTCCGGCTATCCGGAGATTTTGTGCGGCACCTCCGGACTATCATACACATGTATACTTACTTCGTTCTGACAGAATTTTAGTGAAGTGAATCAGAATTTTTCAAGCGTTTGTTTATTTATTGTACGCTGCTCATTTAACGCATTGGTTAGATAAAGAAAGTCTGAATTTTCATCCAAACTATGCAGATCTATTGTGTACTTTTTTCACGGAGCTCTAGCAGGTGTAATTCGAGAAAACATTTAGATCTTATTGCTTGATTCATTCAAAAAAGGTGCAGTTTCTGATTGATGACCATTCTTGCGTAAAAAGACAACAAACATGCCAAAAAACCACAAAAAACACAAAAAACAAATAAAATAAATCAACAGCACACAAGTTTTATTTGAAGTCCTCTAAAGTGAATCCTATAATGCCGCAGGACAAGAGACAACAAAAATGAAAGCACGGCCAGCGGGAACAACGCTACACCATCCCCGAAGGACCATCCGTCAGATTCATTTACGGCGCAAGGGTTCAGCTGATTGCTTCCTGCATAATTCGGCAAAAAATATTTATACACGAGAACTGTAAATCATGTCAGAAGCACGAAAACAGAGGACACGGAAGCCACAGACACTCATTAATGCCTACGAAGTTTGTGAGTCTATGGGAACAAGGAACATCTAAAACTGACCACAACCAAACACGCACACACCCACACATACATACATACATACATACATACATACATACATACATACATACATACATACATACATACATACATACATACATACATACATACATACATACATACATACATACATACATACATACATACATACATACATACATACACATACATACACCATACACACACACATACATACATACATACATACATACATACATACAAGAAAAAAAGACAGGATGAGCGTTCAATATCTAGAAGCACATCCAATGTACTCCGGAGTACACACTTTGGTGACACGATCAAAATTCAAAATAGGTCAAATTTTTTATATGGTGTTAATAGATAGGTTTACCTTTTCTAAAATTGTTATGCTATCATCTCCCATAGAGCGATAGCAACGGCTCGACTATAGCGACCGTTGACTATATAACCCAGACATGTGGCCCCGCAGCTGTGGTCCACTGCGCGCTGGCATGGAATAAACCACGCTCAGTACTACTCTGGTAGTCTTCTTTCGGCGGCGGTTTCCAACCCTGACAAAACACGACATTGGTGACGAGGGTGGGACCTTGACCAATTATGCAGCAAGCTGACATAGAATGGACGTCCGGCGGCGGCCGGGGTAGTGACGCAGGTCGTGGGTCGTCTGGGAAACGTTGAGCCGTTCGACGGGTCTACTAGCGACTCACCATCATACGAGGAACGCTTCTCAGCATTTATTCAGGTCAACTATATGTCCTGAAGACGACAAGTTACACGTTTTTTTGAGCCTCATAGGCCCAAAGATTTGGTCTACTAAGGTCACTGACCACGCCGGAATTGCCGTCAGCTAAAGGTTTTGAGTTGTTAAAGAAACTTCTTAGTGACCACTTGTCACCGACGCCGTTGGCGTTTAGCGAGCGTGCGAATTTTCACAGAAGATCGCAACTTGAGCCTGAATTATTTTCGGAATATGTTGCGGAGTTGCACAAACTGGCACAGACATGGGAATTTGAATCCGCCCTCGATCAGCCACTGCGGGATCGCTTTGTGTGAGGTCTGTGCCGAGAAGATATACAGCACGTGTTATTTACGGAGGATAACAAGGGAACATTCCAGAAAGCCTTAGAACAACCGCTAGCCATGGAAGCAGCTAAAAAGAGCGTGGCCGAAGCGCAGGCTTCAGAATAAAGCGTCCCAGGCGTTCACTAAGTCGAAGCGGTTGAGACAACTGATATGACGCAGAGAAAACGCTACCGCTGTCGGTCTGCAAAGAATGCAAGCAGATTGTGTCAGCACATCGCTGCCATCTGTTTCAAACCTGATAGAGAAGGACACATTCAAGTAGCGTTCTAAGCTAATAAGCAGAAAACGATGAAGGGGCACGCCGAAACACTATGAATATATTGAAACCTGTTCAAGCTTCTGTTAGCACGAAGGAAATTTTTTTGCCTGGTCTAGAGCCAATAAAAATTTCGATTCAAGTACAAGACCTACCTCTGAAAATTGAGTTGGATACTGGGGCTACTGTGACTGTGATGTGTTTGAATAGGTTTTGTCAAAGTGTTTCCTTAACCTAGGTCATGCCAACGACGGTGGAGCTGCGGTCGTTCGAAGGAGCCCTCATTGAGCCTGTCGGAGTGGCCCACGTGGTCGTGCAGTACGGGGAGCAGAAGTCCCTGCAGCCTTTTTACATCACGAGGGGAAAGAGACCGTCTCTGTTAAATCGGCCATGTTTGCACGCCATGCAACTTGACTGGAGCCGTATTTTAAAGCTCAACGCTATTCCCAGGTTAGAAAATTCTGCATGTAGCAGACTACGCGCTCTTCTAAACAAATGCGAGAGTTTGTTTAAAGATTAACTGGAGACTATTACAGAAAGGTAGTGGAGTTGTTGCTGAAAAAAAGTAGCATTCCAAAATTTTTGAAGGCAAGAAGTGTGCGGTTTGCATTGCATCCGGCCGTCGAGGCTGAGCTTAAGAAGTTAGAAGACATGTGAGTCGTTTCACCAGTCGCGACAAGTGATTACGCCACGCCGGTTGTGCCAGGGGTCAAGAAAGGCGGTGGCATAAAACTATGCGGCGATTACAAGACCACTATAAATCCTTGTCTTGAAACAGACCGATATCCGCTTCCAAGAGTGGACGAGTTGTTCGCGGCGCTCTCTCGGGGCTAAGAATTTTTGAAGATTAACCTCAGTCGAGCATATCAACAGGTCGTAATGTTGGAGTCGTCCTGAAAGTGCTCGACAATACAACCAATAAACGCCCTTTTTTCGTAAACAGACTGCTGTTCGGGGTTTCTTCGGCATCTTCTATTTTCCAAAGAATCATGGACCCAATGTTGAAGGACCTGAAAGGTGCCATCTGCTAGTTGGATGACAATCTCATTACCGGCAAGACACTGGACGAACATTCCACATACCTCGAAGCGGCTTTAAAGTGGTTGAATGACCACGGTGTTCGAGTAAAAAAAATGTTCATTTTTCCAAAGAGAATACGGTACCTGGGTCATGTTGTCAGTGCAGCAGGGGACAGTACAACGCCTGTCAATATAGAAGCGCTCATGGAAGCTTCCGCACCCACAAGCAAGCAGCAACTGCAATCGTTTCTGGGGATCGTAAACTACTATGCCAAGTTTGTGCCTCATTTGTCTGCTCTGGCAAGTTCACTTTACAAACGTCTGCGTCGCGACCAGTCATGGACTCTGGGACAAATCGTATCATGTGTCGTTCGAGGAAATATAGAATGCGTATAACGACCCAGGTAAACATTTGCAAGTGTCATGTGACGCTTCCAAGTATGACGTGGGCGCAGTACTTTCGCATGTAACTGAAGTTGGAAGCTCTCGCCAAGTGTTTTATGCATCGCGCACATTAACTGACGCCAAAAAGGTACAGTCAGCTAGAAAAAGAAGCGTTGGCAAATATTTTTGTCATCGAAACGTTTCATTTCTACATCTATGGAAGATCTTTTTACGTTGATTATGAATCACAAGCCGTTGCAAATAATCTTGGGGCAAAAAACAGGCATTCTACCCATTGCAGCAGAACGTTTACAGCGATGGACCATCACGTTGTCAGCTTACAAGTACTCGCTCGTGTGCAAACAATCCAGTGTCAACGTAGAAGCAGACTTTTTTTCAAGGTTCCCGCTCCAGAGACTCGAAGACAGCACATCCGAAGGCGAGGAATCGTTTTATGTCTTGCGCCTTGACTCTATGCCAGTCTCCACCAAAGAGATTGCACGCGCTACAGCACGTGATCCGGTGCTCAGTAAAGTGCTCCAGCTTACAAGCATAGGCTGGCCATTGCATTTGCGTGACGTGAGCTTAAAACTATTTTTTACCGACGTTCGCAGATCAGCATGTATCCATGGTGCCTCATGTACAGTTGCAGGGTTGTTATGCCGTCCCCTCTTCGGGAATCAGTGCTTGAAGAACTGCACCTAGGCCATCCCGGCATTGTGCGGAGCAAGGAGTTAGCTCGCAGCTACGTGTGGTGGCCGTCAATTGATGCAGAATTAGAAACAAAGGTACGAAGCTTCCAAGCTTGCCAGGAACAACGGACTGATCCATGTAAGGCACCAATGCATCTCTGGGCATGGCCGATCGCACCATAGAGGTGATTTCACTTGGATTTTGCGGAGCCTTTCTAAGGAATTAGGTATTTGGTGGTGGTAGATGCCCACTCAAAGTTGCCGGAAGTGTCCATTATGCAAAGCACAACGTCCAAGCGCACTGTGGCCTGCTTGCATGAGCTTTTCTGCAGATTCGGGATGCCGGAGACGGTGGTGTCCGACAATGGACCACAACAGGTGTCCGAAGAGTTCAAGGCGTTTATGTGGGATGTCGGGGCTAGACATGTCGTGAGCGCCCCTTCTCATTCAAGTAGAAATGGCCTGGCGGAGCGGTTCGTGCAAACGTTGAAGTCTGCTCTGTGCAAATCGCTGCCCGGTGAGTCCGTCGAAGAAACACTTCACAACTTTTTATTGGCACACCAAAACACGCCTCATCCTACGACTGGAGAAGCTCTAGCTAACCTGTTGATTTGTAAGAGATTGCGCACCAGACTGGATGCCATATGCCTACATTGCAGGGAATGGTGATGCACAGTCGATTCACCCAAATGCAGCAGCGGAAGAGCAACAGAAGCTGTTTTTATAATACTGACAGTGTTTTTGTTCGAAATCAAAGAGGCTCCCCCAAGTGGATTCGTGGAACCGTGCTAAAGCAGACTGTCCCAGTCTCTTATAAAGTCATAGTCACTACGTCCAAAGGCAAGTACATCGGGCGCCGACATCTCGGTCAGCTGTTGGCAGGCATGGGTACTGTGACGACAGCAAAGGTATTGGAGCCAGACTTCATGGAGGGATTCTTGGTCCTCCCTCAAAGCCAGGCTGGTGACCAGTCAACGTCGCAAGAGCTTGTGCCCATGGAGGCTGGCTCTCCAGCGCCCACTCTTCCATCGAAGACACCCGAACCAGAACGGCGCAACCCATCAAGAAAACGCCGTCCACCTGATCAATACGAAGCCTGTTTTTAAACATTGTATAAGGATACAAATTCACCCTCTAATAAAACGGGAGGAGTGTTATGTTATCATCGCTCATAGAGCAATAGCAGCGGTCCGACTATTGCGACTGTTGACTATATAAACGCAGACATATCGCCACGCAGCTGTTGTCCACTGCGCACTGGCATAGAATAAACCACTTTCAGTACTGCTCCCGTAGTCTTCTTTCCGGCAATTCAAAGGCAATTGTTTTCCTAAAACAATTGAACTTTAGTACTCTCATCGAAGGCATGAGGAAAGCCCCTTTCGATGAATTCTTAATTTTATCAAGACTTTGGCAGCAGTGGTTGCGGCTAGAGGACGGCGCTCTAATTCCCTGCTTCTGCGCGATACAGGTTGGTGACAGCCAGCTCGTTTCAAGGACGATCACCTATCCGCCGGTCGTTAACGTTCATTCAGCTGCCTGCTGATCGCAACTGCACGGTCACTACACGTGTCTGGGAAACCTGCGTCATCTGCGCTTGGTTACCCTCACCACCGACGGAAAAGACGTCACCGGACAGCTTGGCCTGCCACCCATAGGCGCCTTGGACCCTACATAAGGATTCCCTCTAGTCCTGGCTCGTCACTTTGGCAGCAGTGGTTGCGGCTAGAGGACGGCGCTCTAATTCCCTGCTTCTGCGCGATACAGGTTGGTGACAGCCAGCTCGTTTCAAGGACGATCACCTATCCGCCGGTCGTTAACGTTCATTCAGCTGCCTGCTGATCGCAACTGCACGGTCACTACACGTGTCTGGGAAACCTGCGTCATCTGCGCTTGGTTACCCTCACCACCGACGGAAAAGACGTCACCGGACAGCTTGGCCTGCCACCCATAGGCGCCTTGGACCCTACATAAGGATTCCCTCTAGTCCTGGCTCGTCACTTTGGCAGCAGTGGTTGCGGCTAGAGGACGGCGCTCTAATTCCCTGCTTCTGCGCGATACAGGTTGGTTCCTTACTTATTGTTTTGTCTTGGAACTCCTTGCCGCTCCCACTGCTGCCAGCAGTTTTTGTAGTTTTTAGCGTTGTCTTTATTATACTCTTTTTTAGTGTTTTCTACTATTGCTGATGATTATTAGTGTTCTAAGCATTGCATCATGCCAACCACGGCCGAGCTTTCGAGGCAAATTGAGCTACTTCGTGCTGACCTTGCAGAAATGAAGAATAGCTTGCAAGTGCATAGCCAACTCTACGAGTCCGTTAAGAGCAGAAATGAAGAATTGTCCAAAGAAAACAAAGAACTCAGGGACGAGAGTAAACAACTATGTAATCGTCTGGCTGCCTTGGAGCAATACTCACGCTTAAACAATGTTGAGATAAAGGGTATCCCTGACACGAAAGGTGAAAACTGCCTTGCTATAATGCAGGCAATTGGTGAGAAAGTTGGGTGCCCCGTTGAGCCGACAGACATCGATGTCGTCCACCGTGTCCCGGCGAAAAATGGATCGAACATTATAGCGAGATTTTGCTCCAGGACAAAGAAAGCAGACTTTGCTTCCAAAGCACGGAAAGCACGAATCACGACGGGTGTCATTGGCTTTCGTAAAGAGACGGAAAAACCGGTGTTTGTTAACGATCACCTAACCCCAGAAAACAAGAGATTGTTTGCTCAGGCTTTGGAACTAAAAAAGGCGAAAAATTGGAAGCATCTATGGACAGATTCCTGCGTAATAAAGGCCAGAAAAAGTGATGACAGCCGCGTCTTTCGTATACGTGAAGCAGGCCATCTATCTGTCTTTCAGTAGATGGCTGCCTCTAAGATATCTGGAACAACCATGGATTCCTCTGTTTTGTCTTATCAGCAAACTAAAACATTTCTCAAGAATAAACCCCCAGCTTTATCATTGATTCATTTCAATGTCCGCAGCCTCAGAAAGCATCATAATGACCTCATACACTTCCTGACAGCAATCAATCACACGTTTTCAGTCATATGCCTCTCTGAGACATGGTTAACAAATAACGATGGTAATCTATATGGCATGTCGAACTATACCTCTGAGTACTGCAACCGCGATTCAGCCCGTGGTGGTGGTTCTGCGGTCTTTATTGATTCGTCATTGTCATATAGGCGTCGTCACGATCTTTCTTTTACTAACCTAAACTGTGAATCGGTCTGGCTTGAATTTGACCAAACGGTTTTTTCACTGAACGGCAGAAACACCATCATTGCATCAATCTACCGCTCTCCGTCTTCATCTATTGTTCATTTTTGCTCGCAACTTGAATCCCTTCTAAACCTTCTCGTTTTTGAAAACAAAAACGTCATCATATGCGGCGACATTAACATTAACATACTTGACCTTTACAGTCATTCATGCTCGGATTATGTTCGCGTTTTTCAAAGTTTTGGCTTCTCATCGTTAATCACAGCTCCTACTAGGTGCGATCCATCAGGCACGAATACACTGATTGACCACATTTTGTCCAGTTTGACAACGAGCGCCTCTGCGGCTGTAATAGACTATCAGTTTAGTGACCATTATCCTGTTTTTCTCAGAATAGAATCCGCTCTCTTGCCCCGTGCCACAAATCATAAACAAGTCATGAAAGCGGTGTTTAACACAGAAACATTTGTTTCCTTGATTAACCAACTAGACTGGACTGATGTCACACAAAACGAATCTGCTGAGCAAGCCTACGACTCATTTTCTGCTCTAATAGCAAACTGCATAACACAGAGCACATCGCATGTCCCTATTTCTTGGCGGTTTAAAGAGCGAAGAAACCCATGGATCACCAACGGATTATTGCACTCAATTTCAAAAAAAGATAAAATGCATAAGAAGCTTAAGGACCAACCATTTAACACAGTGCTACAAATTCGCTATAAAAAATATTCGAATACGCTTGGTGCAATTTTGAAACGTGCTAAACGTGACTATTTTCAAACGCGCATATTGCTTAATGGAACTGATACTAAACGAAACTGGCAGCTAATTAAAAAGTTTCTGAACAAAACCGATTCCCATGCACGGTTAACGAAAATAAGTACTGCATCCTGCACATTCACTGAGCCAATTGACATTGCCAATGCTTTTAACGACCATTTTGCCAACACTGAAAACAATCAACACCGGCCATCACTTTCCCACTTATCGCGCTGTCCGCAATCTTTTTACTTATATCCTACTTCTAGCGCTGAAGTTCGTTCTGTCATATCATCGTTAAAAACAACCGGGGCGGGTTTAGACTCCATTCACCCTTCACGAGTTAAGCTGATAATCGACTATGTTTCACCTGTTCTTGCTAACATCATCAACAAAATGTTCAAGGATGGCACATTTCCAACCTCCCTAAAAAACGGCAAGATAACTCCCGTCTTCAAGAAAGGTGACCGTGAATGCATTAACAATTACCGTCCTATTTGCATTCTTCCTTTTTTTAGTAAAGTAATCGAAAAGATTTTGTACAAACGCCTCATGTCATATTTCAAAAAATTCGACTTGCTCTCTCCCCATCAGTTTGGTTTCCGTCCAGGTTTCTCAACCGAACTGGCGCTCATTAGTTTCACGGACAAAATCAAACTAGCCATTGATGACGGTTCACTATTTGGTGCAGTCTTTGTTGATCTTACTAAAGCTTTTGACACTATTAATCATTCCATTCTTTTTCACAAGCTCGCATCTTACGGCATTACAGGACCAGCCTTGAGCCTTATTAAGAATTACCTAAAAAACAGGTCGCAAGTTGTACAAATCGACGGTAGTGTTTCCTCTCCCAAGGTTACTAATACAGGAGTGCCTCAAGGATCTATTCTAGGCCCGCTGCTTTTTCTACTCTTCATCAACGACTTGCCCCTAACACTTCGCCATACTGACTGCTTGTTATATGCGGACGATACAACCATATATTCATCTCATAAAAGCATCGCCGTACTGTTACAAAATCTAAATGTTGACTTAAAAAATGTAAGTGATTGGTGCAGTCGTAACTGCCTGCACATTAACCCCACTAAACTACATTTGTAATATTTCATTCTCCATTATCAAAAGTGCCACCCGTGGTGCTCACGATGGGGGACAATGAAATACCCGTTACTAACAGCGCCAGGTTTCTGGGTGTGACATTAGATGAGCACCTAAAATATAATATTCATGTTCATTCACTAATGCATAAAGTTTCTTTTGGCATACACGTAATCATTAAATCACGTAATTATTTCGAAAGGCCCATTATTCGTTCACTTTATCACTCTTTCATTCATAGCCATCTGTCTTACTGTGTATCATCTTGGGCTAATACTTACTTTTGTCACCTCGATTCCCTTCAACGCCTGCAAAACCAAGCTATACGACTAATGACCTTCAGTAATGTTTTTACCCCCTCTAAACCGCTATACCAAAATCTAAATATTTTGCCACTCTCAGAACTACTTAAACAAAAACTATCTCTATTTATTTTTCGGCTAAAGAGATGTGGCACCTCCATTCCGGCTTACTCAAATGAATTTTTTGTCAACACTAACATTACGAGGTTCTCTTCAAACGACAATCTACTTCTTCCCCCCGCTCGAACAAATTACGCGAAACTAACAGCCCTTTTTTCAGGCATATCCATTTGGAATTCGTTACCATACGAAATTAAATCAGCATCCTCTGTACATACATTTCAAAGCCTTCACAAAAAATACTGTCTCGGCAAATTATGTGGGCAGGCACACTAACTCAGGGATCTGCCATTTTTTTTTTTTTTTTTTCGCGCATGCTTGATTTGCTACCATTACCGATGAATATTTTGCTATCATTTGCTGAATATTTTGCTATCATTTGCTGAATATTTGCTATTATTACCGATATGAATTAATCTTGCTTTTGTTTTGTAGCCGTAATTATTATAGCGTTTGGTATTCACTATTTTATATGCTGCTATTGTGTTAAAACTTACTATGTTCACTTTGTTTTGATGAATTCATGACGCCTGTGTCATGAAGATTTCCCTTATAACTGTGTTTTTATTTTCCAGCGTATATTACAGTCATAGACTTAA